GACTGTCCTCTGCTGAAAACAAAAATGAAGTTTTAAAATGTGAACATTTCAAAAATGGAATAAAATATACTATAGTTTTGTTGTTTTATGTTGTTAATACTTTTAGTTTTCAGTTCAGTGCAGTTTTCATCACGCATGCAGAAATGTGCTCTCCCCCGTCAGCGTTAATTGTTTAATAAGTTTTGCTCTCAAACATGTTTGATTGCATAAAAAGGCACAAAAGTAACTCTGTATTTTGGTGGAATGACCCTTGTGAAGCTCCAGCAGGTTTCTCTGTTTTGGCTCGGAGGGGATGGATTGTTCTACAGCTTTTGCCTCAGGCAGTGTCCTCAGTTTCCAATGGACTGCTATCAAGTGACTCTATTCATAGCCCTTGCCCTGTCCCAGGCAAGCCATGTGTCCTCTCAGCAGTATTACACCGCACATCTGTTCAGCTGCTTTCTTTCTCCATTATCATTTAGTCAGACTCATTTAAGATGCAGTGCTATCAGAGGAGATTATGTTCACCCCTGAGAGGGCATCTCCCGTTCCTCAAGCCGCTTTCTACACAGCCATTTTCTGTACAGTAACAATATAATCCAGTGCCCGTTCTTATATAACTCCAGCAAAGTACAGATATTAATAATCCCACTGGGCCTGTGGCACGTTGGCTCTGTGACATCACCGTCAGCCACAGAGGAGTATGACTAGAGCACTGTGGGTAAACACGCTTAAGAGCAGGACATGGAGCACTTTGCTGGAGTTCACAGAGAGCGGGGCTGCCAGTGTGTAGACTATTCATAGATTATGGGCCATGGTATGTACCACTTCTGCACACAGATGTGTGGATTAAGACATAATTGATTTGTAGATTACTGTCTGTGGGTTGATTTTTGTTGAGTATGTAATGTACACTAAATCTTAGAAGCTTTTAAGTGTATTTGTATTGTCTTTGGGTATTATGTTTGCATTTATTGTTTGCTTAGATTATTTGGGATTATTGGATTCATAACTGTAAAATATCATCTATTGTTGTGTTTATAAGAATGATTTATGTTGTGCATGCAGGGGTCATATTAATGTTCATGCTTATGTGATATGGCTCAGAGCGTGTGCGTGTGTCTGTGGGTAAACACGCTTAAGAGCAGGACATGGAGCACTTTGCTGGAGTTCACAGAGAGCGGGGCTGCCAGTGTGTAGACTATTCATAGATTATGGGCCATGGTATGTACCACTTCTGCACACAGATGTGTGGATTAAGACATAATTGATTTGTAGATTACTGTCTGTGGGTTGATTTTTGTTGAGTATGTAATGTACACTAAATCTTAGAAGCTTTTAAGTGTATTTGTATTGTCTTTGGGTATTATGTTTGCATTTATTGTTTGCTTAGATTATTTGGGATTATTGGATTCATAACTGTAAAATATCATCTATTGTTGTGTTTATAAGAATGATTTATGTTGTGCATGCAGGGGTCATAATGTTCATGCTTATGTGATATGGCTCAGAGCGTGTGCGTGTGTGTGTGTGTTTGTGTTTGACTGCACCAGGGGTCTGTGCATGATGTCAGACGTCTGGGGGCGATTTGTATGCATTATGTAAACCGTGTTTGTATATGTATGTGTGTGCCTTTTTGTTTCAACATCTGCAAATGTTTGTCAGCTGTGTCTTGATATATGATAAAATATTTTCATATTTACACTACTGTTAAAATGTTTGGGGTCAGTAAGATTTCTTAATGCTTTTTAAAGAAGTGTCTTATGTACACCAAGGCTGCATTTATTTGTTTATTTGTAAAATATATATATATATATATTTATTCTTGTGGTGGCAAAGCTGAATTTTCAAGAAAGAACAGTATTTATTTTGAATAGAAATCTTTTGTAATGTCTTTATTGTCACTTTTGTTCAATTTAAAGTAATAGTTCACCCCAAAATTTTAAATTTGCTGAAAATGTACTGAAAATGTTACCCTCAGGCCATCCAAGATGTAAATGAGTTTGTTTCTTCATGGAAAACATTTTGGAGAAATTTAGCCTCTGTAGTGAATGGGTACCATCGGAATGAGAGTTCAAATAGCTGATAAAAACCATCACAATAATCCACAAGTAATCAACATGACTCCAGTCCATCAATTAATGTCTTGTGAAGTGAAAAGCTGCATGTTTGTAATAAATAAATCCATCATTAAGACGCTTTTAACTTTGAGCCATTGCTTTCTCCATTGGTGAGCAAGAGATCTAATGCAAAGTTTCTCCAAATCTGTTCCGATGAAGAAACCCCAATTATCTACATCTTGGGTGGCCTGTGGGTAAAACATTTACATTTTGGGGTGAATAAAAGCACTTCAAAAAAATTAAATAATAATAATAATAATAGATCATTATAGAATAAAATTAAAACTAAATTAGTGCATGATTTTACTGTTGTACTTTGTCAAAATACTTGAAATTTACTTAACATGTTTTTTTTAATAGTAAACATTAGGAAACATAATTCAAAACTTGAAATAAAATTTAAAACAGATATAGACAATCTTAAAAGATAAACAGCTTTGCTGTGCAGCAACAGCAGTTAAAGGGGTCATACAATGTTGCCAAAAAGAACATTATTTTGTGTATTTGGTGTAACGAAATGTGTTTATGCGGTTTAAGGTTAAAAAAACACATTATTTTCCACATACTGTACATTATTGTTTCTCCTCTATGCCCCGCCTTTCTGAAATGCATCGATTTTTACAAAGCTCATCAGTCTGAAAAGCGAGGTGTGCTCTGATTGGCCAGCTATCCAGTGCGTTGTGATTGGCTGAATACCTCAAGTGTGTGACGGAAATGTTATGCCCCTCACCATATTGTGATGCCGTGTCCCGGTGTGATGAGACAAAAACATTAAAACCCATTAGAAACGAGGCATTTGTTGCATCCAGTGGGGACATGTTTGTAATAAATAAATCCATCATTAAGACGCTTTTAACTTTGAGCCATTGCTTTCTCCATTGGTGAGCAAGAGATCTAATGCAAAGTTTCTCCAAATCTGTTCCGATGAAGAAACCCCAATTATCTACATCTTGGGTGGCCTGTGGGTAAAACATTTACATTTTGGGGTGAATAAAAGCACTTCAAAAAAATTAAATAATAATAATAATAATAGATCATTATAGAATAAAATTAAAACTAAATTAGTGCATGATTTTACTGTTGTACTTTGTCAAAATACTTGAAATTTACTTAACATGTTTTTTTTAATAGTAAACATTAGGAAACATAATTCAAAACTTGAAATAAAATTTAAAACAGATATAGACAATCTTAAAAGATAAACAGCTTTGCTGTGCAGCAACAGCAGTTAAAGGGGTCATACAATGTTGCCAAAAAGAACATTATTTTGTGTATTTGGTGTAACGAAATGTGTTTATGCGGTTTAAGGTTAAAAAAACACATTATTTTCCACATACTGTACATTATTGTTTCTCCTCTATGCCCCGCCTTTCTGAAATGCATCGATTTTTACAAAGCTCATCAGTCTGAAAAGCGAGGTGTGCTCTGATTGGCCAGCTATCCAGTGCGTTGTGATTGGCTGAATACCTCAAGTGTGTGACGGAAATGTTATGCCCCTCACCATATTGTGATGCCGTGTCCCGGTGTGATGAGACAAAAACATTAAAACCCATTAGAAACGAGGCATTTGTTGCATCCAGTGGGGACATAATTATTGATTATAATGACATATACTGTCTTTTTACACGTTGCGTTGCATCGCGTAAACATAAAACCATGTCTGCATTTGTGATCGAAGAAACGACAAACAACAATCGCTACTCTACACTGCCCAAAACTCACGCTTGAATCATCAGTGGCAAATCCTTTAAATATGAAAAACTTACTTACAGTCTGTGAGTCAGAACAGCAGGCATTGTAGTCTACTCTTCTAGGATCAGGAAACAGTACTCCATAAAATGTGCTGCACACATCTGAATATTTGGGTTGAACTGTTCTGGAACAGTGTTGCAAATACAACTTAACCACTGATTTTTAGTCGTGTCCTCTTTTGGAAGGCCAAACAAAGTAGTTTCACTTTCACAATGAAACACAGCGTCACACACGGCGGCCTTGAGTGAGTGGAGGTAGGCATACTGAGTGAGCGACGGCCGGCAGGCTTGAGAACGACGCGGCCGGCGTGCTTGCGGCAATCACATGTGATGACCCCGGGATGGACTCTGCTTCGTCCATGGTGAAAGCCGATCCGGCGATCCACAGCGCGAAGTTGATGTATTTCCTCAGCGACCAGCACAGATCAGCCCTAGGCATGACGAAGCGGATAGAGTCCTCTTTTGGAAGACCAAACAAAGTAGTTTCGCTTTCATAGCGAAACACACAGCGCCTTCACGTCATGGCAGCAGCAACAATACTACAGCGAGAATAAAAGTTACGCTTTCTTTCTTTGCGTGAACATTTGGGCGGCGTTATGCTAATCTTCCCACATCGTGACGTAGATATGTGGGGGCGTGTTAGAACGAGCCGTTTTAGGTAGGGGTTGACTCTTAACTTTTATAAAGCATATCTCTTTGGATTTGAGACTTTAGTCTTTGCAACTTTACAGATCTTCTTTATCCAAGAGCTTGTAACACTCCAAAGAGAAAGGAACAATTTAAATCACATCATATGACCACTTTAATGTAAATCTTCATGCATGCATCCACGCCACTAGGTGTCAGTATAGATTCAAAGACTGCTGGGATAAAGTAGAGTCTGGCATAAAGAAAATGAGTGCAGCTTTACATGTACAGTAGGTGCATGCCACTATTTAGACACCAATTCTGTTATTTAGCATCCATTAACATGATCACAAATCAAATCAAATCAAAAATCTTTAAATCCTTTATATTTAAACAGAGACTAAATACTTCTACTGTCACACCAGGAGGATCATAGTGATGTGAATAATAGTCATTTTACCCCATTCCTCATTTCTAATTGGTTAAACTGATGGTGTTACACATCTCCCCGGCATATGCATGTTTAAGTGACATGTGGCTCTGTCCCATAGGAGATGATGGGGGTTGAAAGGCAGTGTGAGGTGGAGGTACTGAAACAGTCCCAAAAAGATTTACAGTGGGTCCAAAAACAGCTGTCAACCATCTCTAACCGAACCAATGGACCAGGCAGGACCAAAGATAAGGTAAGTCTTTGGGTTAATCAAAAAATTCCCTACAGAAACATAGATGATCAGTTATTGTTTTGGTTTGTAGTTGTTGTATGGACTATAATACAGCATTTTATATAGGCCCTGTGTTTTATGTTAGCTTGGTTTGGTTTTGAAATAAAAGATTAGTCTGTTAGCAATGTTGTAGTTTTGGATCAACCACAAGGCTGTGGTCCAGGCATTATTGGATTAGTCTGTGTCCTGATCACGGTTTGGTTTTCTGAGGACTTGGCCTACTCCTCCATCCGGAGCAAATGCCTACTTCCTCCTGAACCCTTTTTCCAAAAATAGGAGCACCTGTGGCATTTATTTAAGTAACAGGTCAACATTTTGTTCTAGACCCACATATGAATAATATCCAATTATATTTCAAATGTATTTATGTGTATCTCTCTAGTTGATTCCTGTGAGCTTGTCTGAGTTGGCAACAATAAAAGGTGGGTGGAACTTTGCACTGGCAAAAAAATCTAATTATACATACCATTTGGTCTTATTGTGGCAATATAGCCATACGATTGGCTCCTCTCTCCTTTTATTTAACAAATGAACTCGATCCTTCACTTTAACCTACAGTGCTTATGAACAGACACGTTTTCTGCTTCAGATCTGAAGAGGATGGAAATGGCTCACTTATACTAAGGGCAAATAACATTTACTTGGCTGGAGTGTTTTAGAGATGGTAATGAGTCCTGCGATGTACTCAGGGTCTAGATGTGCCTTTTAGAGACGGGAATCAGTGCAGGTTTATATACTAGAGTGTTGCCATATTTGGCTGTGATTATGCAATGCTAGATATCCCATGAGACAGCAGAGGGCTCTTTTGGGAGAGATTGCGGGAGATGGGGAGAGAAAGAAGAGAATGACAGTTCACTTAATAATTGCTATGGTTGCCAGGCAGCAGTATCCAAACAAGTCAAGCTTGTTTTCTGTCTAGTTTAAGGGTTATCTCCATGATATTTCTTTCTTGAATCTCATTGATTTTTCTGGGCATGCTGCTGTATTCATGCACAGCATGCATTCATTTTTTAGTAAGTGTGCAATACCAGTGTTAGGCACAGAGGGCAGTCTTGACCTATTGTTTCATTGCCAAGTCTGGGGAAACCCTGAACTGTCCAAATAATCCTCCTTAATACCCTGCTGCTCCTGCATCCCTGATCTCTGATTGGCTGGCGCTGCTGTGAATGGTCCTGCCACTGCACAGTGGGAGATAAGCGATTGGTCGGACTCACTCACTGGTGGAAAGAGTAAGCGAGCACGGAGAACAGGCGAGAAAGAGTGGGTTCACTGGGTTTCTCACAAGGGATCCTCATTAACAAATCCATCTTCTGCAGTCAAATCACAGATATCTGTTAAAGCATGTAATTCACAGAATTCTTGAGCATTGATGAAGCATGTTCTTTAAGTATGCAGGTGTGTAGTATAAATAAATATATTCCCGGATGTAATACATCCACCATGTTGGCATCGTCCTTTGACCTGGATGTTCTTTGACCCATGGTTTCATGGGATAGTTAAGTGTCCACTGGTTGCACACAGAATCTCTGCTCAATGGTGCTAATTCAGACATCCTATTTATTTAGCTTTCTGGCTTTTGAATATTTCTGTATGTAGCCGTGATTTTATTTACATGCACGAGAATATTCCTACATTAATCCGATTTTTGACATTTCTTTTATAAGTTTCATTTCGTTATGTCATTGTTGTTCCAAACCTGTATCATTTTCTTTCTTCTGTGGAACACAAAAGAAGGAATTCTGAAGAATGTTAGTAATTAAATAGTATTATTTCCATTTTATGGAAAAAAAAAAAAATCTTTAGTGTTCAGCAGAAGAATAAAATGCATAAAGGTTTGGAACAACATGAGGGTGAGTAAATTAGAAAGAAAATGACATTTTATGGGTAGACTATCCCTTTAACCTGATTCCCATAACCAAATGAATCCAGTGTACAGAAGGTGGCATAGAAGCGCTTCTCAAGTGGCATTTAAGGTGTCTTTACACAGACTGTGTAATGCTGCTCAGACGTGGCGTAAAAGCATTTACACAACAAATACAACTATGTTTTGATACTGGGGCTGAGGTTGGTCAGAGCAGGCTTAATTTAGTCTGGCTTTTATGCAGAATTTTGAGCAGGCACAGAGCAGCCTTAACCAGGCAGTGTAAAGATGTCTCAGTATTCCAGTTTCTAGAAATCTGAATGAGACCACTTTGCATATGCCTATACCAAGCAAAATGTTTGTGTTTGTGTATTTGTGATATCAGTCATAACTGAACATTCATTTATATATGTGTACGTCTGAACAACTTTATTTCTGGTTCATAGAGAGGGGATAGTTGAGGAATTGAAGAAACATATTTTTCGAGCAAGGAGGAGACTTAACTTTTATGAACATTAAAAAATGTCATGACCTACATTTTGAAATCCGAAATATGTTGCAATTGTAAGTCGCGATACAACTTAAAATAGCAAGAGATCTTCAGTATTGTGACGTATGTCCGAGTGAAAAGGACTGGTTTATTCTATCCATTGGTTGTTAAATAGTTTCAGGCAGATCTGAATGCATGCTTGCAGTCGATTGTAAGAAAGGAGTGAGGTTTAAGTGGAATAAACAATAGGAAAATACAGCAAACGTCATGAGAGAGGGAACTGACGTTTTTACCGGAAAGTCGAGTTATATTTAATTAAACATTATGAGGTCTAAATGAATGAGTGAATGAATAAATGAATGAATAAATATACATGGATGAATTGTTCATAATAAGAGCAATAAGCATTTAGAAAATTGGGTGAATTTTCATTTCATGCTGACTTGCGGACATGAATTAGAATTGTTTGGATTATTCTGCTGTATACAGGATTATTCTGATCGCTGTGCAGCTTGTAAACATCCTTTTGGTTTAAGGTTTAATCACAATATGGACCTTAATCAGAAAATGATGTTCATGTAAATGTGGCCAGTGATGGGGGAGGGAATGAGAGAGAGAGAATGCATAAACACCTTATTTGACCTTGTCAGCTCCAGTCATGGCCCTCTAGGGCGGATGGGTGATGCTCACCTGGAAGATGATGCTGAAAATGCAAATGCACAGCATTGGGCATGACGTCATGGCTGTCGCCGGCCAAACAAGTTGGTGTTTTTTCAATGTAGGCTTCAGACACGGGTCACGGCGAGGCGTTCCCCCATAGCGACCCCTAGAGGACGCAGTTCGAAGTTCCACGAAAGGGAACGTGCATTTACATGACACAGATGTCAAAGTGACCCAGCGCACGGCTGTCCTGCTGAATGAAAGCTGCACTGGCTCTGCACTTGTGCGTGCTTCTCCTCTGTGTGAGTGTGTGGGAAAGAGAGAGCGAGAATAGGCCAGTTGTGTTCACATATCTCCTACGTTGATCCAGCACACAGATGCAGCTGAAGAGCGCTTTAAACGAGCTCTAAAGACAGTTTGTGTGCTGCGCTCTTCTTCTGTGTGTGTGTGTGTGAGTGAGAGAGAGAGAGAGAGAGAGAGGGTGAGCGCGCGCCTGTGCGGTCTCCTCAGTACCGCCCGCTTCAGCGCTTTTCTCTTCCCGACGGTCTCTAATGAACCGTTTAAGCCCGGATAGCACGGACAGCGGACCGGAGCCGTCAGCCGCCCCTTAATATGACACAGTTGGACGCCGCTGTCTTTACGGGAATCATCTTTTAACGGAAGAGCGGCGGAAGAGGTAGAGTCGCTGTCCATCGCTTGATTTGGTTCACGCGCTCAGCTGATCTGAGAGCATGTTGTGTTGATAAGGAATTTATTGGAGGTTTTGGTCAGAAATGTCTTTTAAATGCGTTACAATACGGTTGTTTAGTCGGGTAGATGTTTACGTTGCTGCTTTGGCTGTAAATGTCATTATGGCTCGTGCGGTCGTCTGCACTATAACCTTGTAAATACATATAGTAGTCCGCTGTACCGTATTAAATGGGCTGAAAACATTATTCAGTGTCTTTCTGCCAGTTAAACACATGGCTGTGTGGGGTACTTTTGTCCATAGCCATTTTAGATTGCAGCACTGCTGAATGTTTCTCACAGTAGCTTGTACTATTAAAGAGATAGTCCTCTTTTTCTCATCACTTGTGAGCTCTTCAAACTCCTTCTAGATCTCGCTGTCATAATCAGTTATAATTCTTTGTTTTAGTAATATTTTAACGTATTTGAACGAATTCTCTATTTTAAACAAACCTAAAAGGTATAGGTGAGGTCAGGGCTTGTTGTCACCGAGATTGTATCTCAGTAACTATGAGATTTTAAAGCCAAAAGTCCAATTACACGAATGTGTGTTTTCCTCTTGAATGTTGTGTTCTATTTCAAACCCTTAGTTTGAATGCGCTTTTTGTAATTCTGCCCTTTAATTAAAATTCAATAGCACAATATTTTGCTCTAGTTATTGTGCAAACAATTGAACACAACAAAAACGCATTCAGACAAGAGCCAAAAATATATTGGGTTGAACTCTGAAATATTATATTTTACCTATAAACATCAGGTTGTATTTTATATGTTATATAAAAAATTATACAATTTATTAATTCGAATTTAAGCGTTTTACTGACTGTCTCAAAAAAGTACAGACATGTACCATGATGCTCTTTTAAGTGAGATATAGAAATAGTAATTGTTCACTACCATGATAACTATGAAAGCGCCATCGTCATGGACCGTGATACTTTTTTTGTAAAGGGATTTAATTGTACATCTTATAAATTGATGTCAGATCTGTTTTGACAGTGAATATCTGTCCCTGGTGGATAGGAGCACAGCGTATTTTATGCACAATTCAACTGTTAACCTGAATTCACTCCAAGCATAATCTGTTTAATAGTTATTAGCATATGCTTTATTTGGTTTAGTCACCAAAAC